CCCCAAAACCCCAAAACCCCAAAACCCCAAAACCCCTTGAGTAAAAGTTAAAGCAATAAAAGATGAAATGATTATAATTATTTGCCAATAATAAATAATTTAAAGATGACAACCAGAATCAACTTTTTCAATCTCTCAGACGATAAGCTTGTGTATGATGAAAGAAAGAAGAGATTTGTCTTCCTCTAAGATGCACCCGCAGTTGTCACCAGAAACTATCAAAATTCACAATTCAAGGAGGTAGGAGATATAAGCATTTCTCAATTGACTAAGATTTAATTTATGAATATAGTAAAGACCTGATTTGTCTGGAGAAGAGTTGTTTGAATTCAGATTAAAATTAAAGATTGGTTCTCAATTCCTTAGACAAATGAACTATCAAACTAAGCTAGAAATGAGAAGATTGTGGAGAACTATGGGTGGAATGTCATTCTAATACTACCAAGTAATTAATATTCAATTATTTCAAAATTACATATAGCCATTATTGGATGACTTCATGACTTATTTTGCCATTGACAGACCAAGAACCTTGAGACTTTGGACATGGGATGACTCAACAAGAATCGTTAATTTCCTTACAGTGCACCTAATGAGAGCTAAAAAATACGGTAATTATAAAATAATTAATATAAGATAGGCCTTGATATTCCTCACCACACCACACCATACATGACAAAAGAACTAGCAAAATAAAGAGAAGATGAACTCACTGAGTTCTTTATTACTGAAATGAGAAAGGCTCCCAGTTCCGCTCTCAAGTAATGAAAACAAAGAGGTTATGATGTGCTAATATCTCCATGCATGTAATGACTGCTGCATAAGCTCCTTATTTAAACATCATTTTTAACAATTAGACTTTAATCTTGTATATTTATCTAAACTTCTTATAATCAAGAATTAACACTTAACTAAAATTACTATTATTGACAATTCCTCAAATTATTCTAATTAATCTTTTTGTAGATTTGCTTCAAAAAGAATTCTTCTTGTTTTTCTTCTCCTGCTTGATTCTTGCTTATATGATTATCTTTCTTGGTCTGATGGGACTATCCTTATGCATCTTGAATCCAAAAAGCTTAGGCTAAAACTCGTCAGTTTTCTGTTTCCCTATTATTATCTTTGGGTAAGATATTAGTAATATTCCTGCAAGATTTGGTCCAAAAAATGATCCATCAAGTTTTTGATGTTTTTGGTAATCTGGTTAGAATAAACCTTTGCATTTAGGGCAAAATACTCTTGTTTGACACACTCCTGGGTGAACTGTCTCACCCCATGGAATAACTGGTTATTTTTCACATAAAACTCTTGGGCAGAACCCGAAATCCCCTTTCATCATTTTAGATTTCTAAAAATTATTATTCGAGTATTTTATACCATAGCTTCTAATCCAATTGAGGACTATATGAATCTCTAATGCAGTAGTCCATAGAGTTTGATAGCATCTTTTTTAATTTGAATCTGAGTATCCATATCCTTTTTATTTAGCTCGTCCAGATTATAGTCATCCTCCATATCTAAAATCATATGGTAGGCGTCTTTGTAATTTTCAACTTGAGATTTGAGAAAAGTCAAATTAAAGTCATCCATCATGTATTATTAATCAACTTGACAAAGAAACTCATTACCTTTCTTCCTGCAGAACCACTCGATCCAAGTTTCCTCAGAATCTGGCTCTATACCTCTTTCAAATTAAAATTAGGGGAATAGATACCTGAATCTTCAACGAAAGAGGATGAGCTCCCCTCTGAAACTGTTAGAAAGTGATCTGAACTTATATCATCTTGCTCATTATTGATATTTGTGATGTTGACATTATCTACACTTGACTCATTCTAAACAAAGTCTCTGTTATTAATTCAGTTATTTTAATTAGGCTAATATATTGGGATTTTGTTTGTAGATGCCTGCTATAACTTAAGTTGCTTTAACTATCTTTAAATGTCTTCAGAATCATCTGATGGTTTTTCATCAAATTTTTTTCTATTCAAATTTCCAAACTTTTTTTCCATTCAAAAGTTTATTATAAAATTATTTTTTAAAAAACTCATTGCTAATATTAGGAGATTTTTATTTAAGGGGTTTTGGGGTTTTGGGGTTTTGGGG